CGCAATCGATCGAACCAAGGAGTGTGGCGGCTGCTGAAATCACCGACCATAAGGAATGGTGTTGAAGTTGAGAAAGTAAAGTTTCGAAGGCTTGAAAGTCAATGGGAAGAGAAAGTGAAAAACAATCAGACAACTGTGATCCAACGGCAAAGAAAGAAGCGTGTAATTGTGCAAGAGACAGTTTTTTTGAAGGGAGGTATAGTTTTTTTTGGTGAGTATAGATGAGATGGAGAGTGACCGGATGATATAAAATGATAATTTGGAATCGGAGGATGTGTTATGAAAGTTTCTTGGAGACAGATACTGGGTGGGTTGTATGGAGATATGAAGGGACGAAAATCAGGTCTGTGAGAACGAAAACCATGAATGTTCCACCGTAGAAAAGTTGTGGATCAGTGGTAGAGATGGATGTCCGAGAAGTATTAGGTGGAGGAGCACCTGGGGACTGAGGTAGTGGATCTGAGGAAGGAGGTGAAGGTGTAGTAGTATCAGGTGGTCAATTAGGGAAGGTGGGATCCGGGGAAAGACATTTTGACAAACGGGATTCACGTGTGTATCCAGGAGGGAGTGGTAGGCCAAGTTTGTATTTGAGAACTGCAACCTCAGACTCAAACTTGTAAACAGGGCGGCCCCTATACATTACGGGAGCCACCGCAATTAGCACAAATACTCGATTCTGCAGGGCAGTATGAATAACCATGGCCAGGTTGGGCACAGAGAGGGCAGCGGGCGGTGGTGCTTTGCAGGGTGGCCAAAACATCAACCTTTCTGACAATGACGGGGTGGGGGTTGCTTGGTCTGACAGGACAAGACTCTCCTCCTATATATACCTTATGGGGAAGGTCATGTGTACGAAAGGTAATCTTGGCCATATTGATTAGGGAGTTTGAGGCGCCCTCTGGGGGGAATAGTGTAAGACTGTACTGATACTGAATCGTAGTCAATGAGGCAGGCAAATAGGTCATCGCAAATAGGTCAGTCTGACCAATCCTTGTCGTATACTGGGCAATCAGCCGGGGCGGTGGCAACACTTCCAGTACATGTATTTAGGGAGGAGTGAGGTTTGGTAGGAATAGATTTGCCAGTAAGGTCAGCCAGGGTAGATATTGCATGGGCTCGAGACTCAAATGTGACAAGGCGCGAGCGGTCAGGACGGCTGTGGAAGGAAACTTTGCTTACTTGTGATAAGGGTTTTATAGAAGTAAGGAGCTGTTGGGGTAATCGCAAAAAATCTGTCCCATTTGGCTGGGCTAAATAGGGTACACAAAAGGTTTGTAGAAGTGGGAATTGTAGAGGGGCGAGGGCGGGTGGAGGGAATGGTGTCGAGTGAGAGAGCACTGTGCGGATGAGGGCAACAGGGTTGAAGAGTTGTAATAAGGGAGGAGGTA